TTCTTCAATTTTATCCCTACTACTCATTATAATGCATAGTTAATAGTATTTTCAGAATGAATAGGTGAAATAATAGTGTAGGATCCATAAAGACTATAAAATGGGGATATCTTGATAAAGCTGGAAGCTTATATTTGCCACACCAAAGCCTTGGTGTATATGTGTATTAGCTTCTCTACATAGTTTTACTTGGAAGTTTAAATAAGTCACCCCAGTTTAACCAGAACGAGTGAATAAAAGGATATGGATTAAAATTCTAGGGCTCATGTTCCCACTATATTATAATTCCTGCAGGGGACGGGATGTTTTACATATAAACACACATAGATTACCTAATCAGTGCAGGGGACAGGAAAGACACAGTAATTGAGCCATACTGTGGATTAGCCGTAGTGGTAATATTAGTAAATATTACTTTATCCTAAAGTTCTCTGCAAATAGTTTTAATTAAAATTAGATAATTTTTCAAGAAAAAATTACTAGTAATTTTTGTTAAGGGAACGTTGGTTTATAACATTATAGAAGTTTCAGGTGTACAGCTTTGTAATTCAGCCTGTGTATTCTCTATATCTTGATCACCACCAAAAGTCTTTAATTCCCATTCATTAGCATACATTAGGTCCCCTATCCCCCTTTCACCCACCTCTGCTCCCCTCCCCCTCTAGTAACCCCCGTTCTGCTCTCTGTACCTAAACGTTTCTGTTGTCTATTTACTTTATTTTCCACATATGAGGGAAATGATATTTGGCCCTGACAATGTTTTTTTTTTTTATCATAGTTATCTTTTCATAAGGAAAAACATTACTATAGACTAATAAGGCTGGAAGGAGATTACATATGCTTTATTCTAAGCACTCATTTAAAGCTCAAAACCCTTGTTTCACTGCTGTTAGTCACCTATTGAGGAGGTGCTTGGTGCTTCAGTGGCAGAAACCTCACCCCCATGGCTCTGGCTAGGGAGCTCTGGTAGTGGCTGTGATAGCAGATTTTTCATTTATTTTGAGCCAGCAATGAAATTAATCTCCCAGGATGAAATACTTTCTTTTTTCTTGCTAAAATGAAGTTTTAGGCTCACTTTACTTACTCTTGAGTTTTTCTTCTAGCAAAGCAGGAAGCTCACAATCATTAAAGCATTGTAAAACTTCTATATTTCAACTAGAAGATTAGTGCATAAGTATTTCTAACACCTTTAATCAAAAGATCAGTCAAAATAAAAGTTTTAAAGTACACTGAATAAAATATCTGTCATAGCTGATATTAAAAGCAATTCAGCAATAGTAAAATGAATGTCATCCTCTGGTATTTCTCAGATATTTGACATGAAGTGATATCACCATTCAAGGATTTTATAAATAATGTATACCTCTCTCATAAAGTATATTAAAATATAAAACAAATTATGTAAAGGAAAATATGCATGTTTACTCCAGATACTTGTTAGGGTTTTGAATTTCAAGAATGATAGCTATTATCAAAAATATAAATGTTAATGTGACTAGTTACTATATGGAAATGGAGTAAAACAGAAAGAGGAAAGCTCAGAGCAGAGAATGTTTTGAGTTTAGAAAATATTTCATTTGATTGTTTAATTTTATGATTATGGTAGTCTTTAGCTGGATTGCCCAGTGAGAAATAATTGATAACAATCTCTCCCAGTTTCCTGCTATATATATATATATATAGTGGAAATAAAAGTCAGTCATTGCAAAATCAATGTATAAATGTAAGATGTAAGGTAATCTTCTTAAAAGTGCTTTATTACCCACTCCATTTGTTTGCTGGAGCTAAGTGTTCACTCCAAATTTAGAAAAGTTCTTATCAAAAATGAGCTAGAAGATGGGCTTCCCTGGTGGCACAAAGGATTAAGTCTCAACAATGTGCAGCTTTCCACAGCCACTGCAGCACAAGTTCCATCCCTGGCCAGGGAACTCAGCCACATGGCACAGCAGGCCTCACCCTGCTGCTCCCTTCAGCAGTATATTTCAGTAAATCCACCTGTTCTGCTCCCCACTCTGTCTCTGGTGACTTGCATACCAGTTGTTGTTATGCATAAATAAATAAATAATTTAAAAAATGAAATAAGCTAGAAGTGAAATGATCTATTTACTAGAAAATAAAACATCTGTATTTTAAGGCGTGGTATTTACATATAAAGGAAAAAGGAAGATTAATATATATATATCAAAATACATATCAAAATGTCATAGATGAAATCTCAAATCAGTAAACTCTTAAATAAGTGGGTTGTAGATAACTATTTCTAAATAGTTAATTTTTATACTCAGTATAAAAATGAAAGCATATAGATATTAGAAGAAATCTCAGGTACATTCTTTAGCCAATAGAAGTGTATGGACTGCTTTGCCAACTACTGAAAGTGTTGCTAAGGACATTAACAATAAATACCACAGGAAATAAAACCCACCTGTGAAACAGGTGAATTTTCATGGTTCTTTTCAGTGTTAAATATCAGTGATTTCTTGAAGTTAGTAGCATCGTAGTGATTCTTACTGTTCAAGCATATATTAATAAAGTAATGGTACATTCATTAAGAAACTACAGTTCTAAATGTAGGCTGGTAAAAAGTCTCAGCCACAACAGAATATGGCTTTTTAAATAAATGGCTCTGTATTTCCATACTTTCAATTCCAACATTATAGTAAAGTATGATATACGTAATAGATTACCACTTTGTATTTCTGTCCTGACTCCTTCTACCATCCAAAGGTGTATAGGTTTTCTTTTAGTCCTAATCGTAATTTATGTTTCATGATAATATGATTTTAAAGAGTAACTGATCATTTGGAAGCTTTAACTCCTTGGGGATACATATGTGGTTTGACTTGATTCTTACCGAGTGTCATGTTTCAATTCTTGATCCTATCCTATTCCAGCTGCTGCTTTTATTCATTTGAAGATTCATTAAAAATACAGAGCCCTGGCCCTCCCCGGTGGCGCAGTGGGTTAAAGCACTGCATAAAGAAGCTTAAGCCACTTCCGCACGAGTTCGATTCCCGCCTGCCCCGGAGGTGACCACATGGCGTGGCAGACCTCTCCTGACCCGCCCGCTGCTTGCCTCAGCAGTGTACTTCGTCGATCTGCCTGTTCTGCACCCCACTCTGTCTCTGGTGAATCCTCTCACCCTCCGCATCTCTGGCCTGTACCCCAGTTCTATATGAATAAATAAATAAATCTTTAAAAAAAAATACAGAGCCCACAGAGACAAAGTTGAGAATAGCAGACATTGTTTAGTCATCTCAATAAACAGCACAATCCCTCATTGGGACTTTGTCCAAGCTATTTAGCTAAATTGTTTAAATTTTTCCATCTCTAAAATGAGAAACATAGTTACCATTTATGGTGATTTTCTGAAAATTAAATGAATTAAAAACTTCTTAGTGCACTGTGAAATCAATAAATATTAGCCCATGGTGATATTAAAAATTATTTTGGCTGTGTGACCTTAGAACATTTACATTTCCTGAAAAAAAATGTTGTTTAAAACATGAACATATATAAGGATTTTGAGTTGGGATGTTTTAAAGAAGGATTGTTTTCCATTTCTTTTCTTGATATTCTTAATAACTTATTACAATTTTATCATATAACAAAGAAATTTTAAAGCATAGTTAATGATTCTTTATTTTCTTAATAAAAATTTCACTAAACACTTCAAGATAGAGGAAGACATCATTTAAAAACCTCACTGTTACAAATGATATGGAGCTCACCAGACTTCTGCCCTCTCCATCGTTGTTCAAAAGGAGTTGTTTTTTTTTTTTCTAAAGATTTATTTATTTTGTGCATACAGAACTGGGGTACAAGCCAGAGGCTCAGGGGCGGTGAGAGGCTTCACCAGAGACAGAGTGGGGAACAGAACAGGCAGATTGATGAAGTACACTGCTGAGGGGAGCAGCGGGCGGGTCCAGAGAGGTCTGCCACACCATGTGGTCACTTCCGGGGCAGGCGGGAATCGAACTCATGCAGAAGCGGCTTTTAGATTGTCAGTGCTGTGCTTTAACCTGCTGTGCCACCAGGGAGGGCCCCAAAAGGAGTTTTAACTTCATTTTTTCCTTCAAAATTTGTTCTCATGATGTCTGTTTCTGGATCCCATTCATGAAACGATACTTAAACATATACCATTTGGCCACCAGCTCAGAATTAGTAAATCTGAACCTCTGAAGTTGGGACTCATCATGTATCATGTCTGACAAGTTTTGGTTCTTCTGCAAACTGAAGGTTGAAAAAATGGAATTCATTAAAAGACAATAAAATACTGCCCATTTCTCTGTCTGCTGGTTTTTACAACCCTTCCTATTACAAATAAGCCTCAGCTTCCCTCGCGGGTCAGTTAAATAAGTGAACAATTTGCTGCTAGGAACCCTGGGGCTCCAAGCAGAAGTATGTGCCTGTTGTGGTTCAGGATAAAACAGCACTAGGAATCAAATGTCAAAAAATTACTGTACTATTCTTTTGACAAAATATTATAAGACTTTAGAAGACTTACAAGTATTTTGTTGTTCTTTATTACTCTGATTCCTAAGTCATCACCTTGAACATTATCTGAGACTTTCCAGCCTGTTTAGAACCTTTTTTTCTCAAATAAAGGCATTTTTTAATAGGAATGATGACCTTAGAGGAAAATTAATGACGTGTGCTTATAACTTAACAAAATGTGATTGTTGTTCAGAAGTTATTTTGAAAAGTTGATTATTACTAAAGAAATTAAGAGGCTACTTCCTGCTGTTAAAATTAGATGCTGAATGGTGGTTTCTAGAGAGGTGGGGGTGCAAGGAAATAATTAAGGGCTCGGTTGGATGGTAGTGGGTGGTAACGAGGCCATTGGCAGTGGGTATGGTGGTATGTGTAGATACATTTGTCAAGGTGTAAAGTCGCACCCTAAATTTTAGCACGTTATAAAGCAGCATTGCCTCAATTTAAAAAGTTACAATCTGCAAATGTTTACCACCTTAAAAAATATTTCTGTATTTTTTTTACAGGCATTGCATTGCCTCCTAAGGGGAATGTAGATATCCCAGTGTTATTTGTCCCCCACATTATGAAGTTACACAAAACAATGGTATTGATTGAAATGGTGAAGGCAAATGGAGAATACTGGCCCATTGATAATTTTGATGAGTTGAGCACGGAGATGAAAAGGTAACATTCAAAAAGGGTAATGAAAGGAATTATCTCATTTGGACTGGTTCTGATGGGATTAGTTCTTGTTTATAGGTTTTGCAATGTAAAATTCATGATTTCATATTCTCAAAAGTTGTAAATTATATGTTGTGAATAGGAAAATATATTTATTGTATGGGTACAGTATAGAAGTATGTGAAGTTTGGAGTGATGAGCAAGTCAACTTAGAATGTCCTATCAATAAATCACAGTCAGAGACATGCAAAGGGACTCTTACTTTGTACTGATTTCTTTGGCACATTTAAAGATTCTTCTGGGGAGCCTATTATTGTATACTGAGCCATGCTTTTCATCACTCCTGCAGTCAAGACTGCCTATGTGATCTGTGGGCCCCAATGTAAAATGAAAATAAGGGGGTTCTTGTTCAAAAATTTAGAATGTCAAGATAGTTACGGTAGTACATTAGCCAAGCAAAGACACTGCATTGCATAGGTCACATGTCCTTGAGGCTGGTCTGTCTGCTCTGTCTTGTTTTAACAAGAAAAGCCCATTTTCACAATGACTGAATCATTTTCTAATATTGCTGTCCCCCCAGTGGCCTATAATGGTTTTCTGAAAAAGGCCCTTTCCTCTAACTGATATCCCCTAAAAGTGAATTCCTCATTCCATGCTGAAGTTCCGTCCTTTCTGGCATTTTCCGTTGTTTTGTGTTCTGTGTATGCAACTGAGATGTAACCCATGGAAAATGTATTACCCCTGATTAATCATAGTTTATTCACATCAAGAAATACCAACAAAGTGTTCAAATAAAGGGGAGCTCTTCAGTTTTAGCTTCAATCTCATGATAGTTTTGTTATATTATTCTTTGTGATAATATTTATAAACATTTCAACATTTGCAGAATTTTTTTTAGGTCATGCTTCCTCTCTGGTGTTGTGTCAATTTACACACTTTCCTAAACTACCACTAGATTTGTGAATATATTCTTTTTTGCTAACTTTTAAAGTGTTTATGGTTTTTGTTCATGTTTAACAATCTGATTTCTAATTAGAATATTGGGCGTGGGCAGTGCAGAAATCCGAGCAATATACTGGATGTTTCCCTTTCTTGGACTTCCACAGGCACCACATATTAAATCTCCCCACGGTAGGTACATCCAGAGTCTATAATCCATTCTACTAATCATTTTTGCCTACAAATGTCTTGAGAAAAAAATAGATATCATTTTATAAATACACACTACTTGCTTGCCCTAAGGCTGTCCTTCCTTTATAAGAACACATTAGAGGTAACATTCTTTTCCTTGCTTAACTACATCGCCATTGATGCTTAGTATTTCTTTTTTCTGGCCGTCTCAGACCCTAGGAGCTGCTGTTGTTTGGTGAGCCACCTTTTCTCTTTGTGCATTTTTAGCTGCTGCTGTCCATTGGGGCAGATAATTGGAAAAGCACCTCATTCCTTGTCATAGTGTAAAATAATAGAAAATGAATTCATGGTGATTCATTCGCCAAGGTACTCATTGCCTAAGGACTTACAGGACAACACCAGTGACATGATACTCATTGTAATTTTGATCACACTTACTGCCAATTTAATGCTTTACGACCAAAGCTAATTATAACCAGAAAAGCTTGTACATTTTCCTCTGCCATTTCAGCCCTCGTAATTTGCATCTTACTGTTTACCCTTGTATATTTTGCATACTATTCTAAGTCTAAAATTTTTAATATTAACCTGTAAATTTTAGAATTAAAAATATTTAGAATTGAAATATTTTTATACTCTAAATGTGCTATGTATTGTGAAAACACAGATTTGTGGGCATTATCCAATTTTGTCACATAGATTTATATATATCATTATTGATGACATAAAAACATAGCATACTTTTTTAATACCACGACTCCCTTTTTACTCCATGTCCTATGTACATGTAAATTTTAATACCATATTTTAAAGAAATCATATTCATATAAGCATTATACATGTGCTTATTTATGAAGTTAATGCTAAAGGAATGCATCAGTTCTCTTGTATATAGTTAATAGTTATATATCACAAAAATATTTTGTCTTTTACAAGATCTCTTGCAGTAGATTTAAGGAAATATTAGAACTTAATATATACAAATTCATAAATGAAAATAAAATATTTCACTTATAATTTAAATATGAATCCTAAGATGTAAGTGAATAGTCTCAGAAAGATTTTAAATGTTATTACAAAATAAATGTTGTAAAACTTAAAACTTATTCTTTTAATAATTGAATGTTTTTTATTGTAGTATTATATATATAGTTTGTATTTACCACAGTGAACATATAGATAGCTGCAAAATCCACATGTTCACAACCACCACTCCATTTATTGGTAAAAACAGGTCAGTACCTGAGTCAAATTTTTACATCCTAATATGATCTTCTATAATATAATATATATCTTGCACATTTATCCCTTTATCCTATTTTTACATATTATTTAATATTTATATTTGCTTCCAAAATGTCTTTAGAGATATTGCATGAGTCTTTGTGTGTATGTCTATATGTGTGTGACCTAATGCCATATGCAATGACAAATCAAAATATGCCAAAGGAACTTTGATTTTTCATGACATCATTCATGACATAATATCCCAAGAATAAAACATAATCCAATTATAAAATTAACTGGAAATATTTCTGTCCCACAGTTGTCATAACTTGTCAAGCCAAGAAGCGGATAGAAGAGAACGTGGTAGTCACATTAACTGGTGATTTTGGGGGATACAGTCCCATATTCGAACCGAAAGATTTTTCAGTGATTCCAAAAAGAAGTTCAGATGATCTTTATAATGATCTTATTGGTAAGAAAACCAAAATCATAGACATTAAAAAGTGATCCTAAATAAAAAACTGAGATTCCTTAAATTGAAGAATGTTTAATTGCTCCTCATTTGTTTTTTTATTTACAGTATGACATCAAATTACTTTTCAATGAAAGCTATATTTGTTCTTTTTACACAGTAACTTCCAGAATGACAATAATTATGATGATTAATAAATTTATAAAAATAGATAATTATGTTGTCAACTGTGAGACGAAATAACTAGTAACTGTAATTTCCACTTTTTTTTACTTTAATATCTTCATTTACTCTCTCTGATTTAAGTAATTTAATTGAAACCATGTCTTGCAACTTTAAATTTAGAATAAAATATTTAAAAGTGTGAATAAAATACATCTTATTTAGAGACTCAGAAATGACATGAATTAGATCTTATACCCAAATGTTCACATAAAAAGCCCTCTTGTATTTAAGGCTTTGAGGCTTTTCACAGTTACTACAATGGTTTGGTAAAATTAGAATTCAATGATGTAAAATTATTTTTGAACTGTTTTCCAGATGAACTAAAGTAGAATGTTCCTATTTCACATTGAAAGGGAAATTCCTATAGCAATATAGTACTTTATTAAAAGCAATTGGAAGAAATCTACACCTATGCATTCTTACAAAAATTAAGCAGACCACAAAGTTAGGCATGAAATTCCTTGCAAAAACAAAATATTTTCCCTAGTTTTCTCATCCATATCTTTCTACAACCTTTTCACTTTGATCTTAATATTACCGTTTCTGTATCATATCTGTTTTTTCAGTGATAATTAAATGACCTATAGCTGGAGATTGCTAGAAATTATACAAACATATAGAAAGAATATACCAGAGATACAGTAAAACAATTTTTTTTATACTAGCGGCAATTTTTGTTTAGCAAAAAAAATGCTCACTTGAAACAAATCATGAAACCAGTTTTATGTACTAGTCTCTGTGTGTATAACCATGCTAGAGTGGTGGAAACATGTTAGGAACTAAACCAGCTACTTTAAGTGAGATTAAATAACTGTGAAGCAAGACAGGCTGACTTCTGCTTCATAATAGAACCTGAAGTCCTAGGAGTTGAAGCTGGGTAGTGCCTATGTCCTTTGGTGTTATCCAGGTACTATTCCTTTCCCTTTTTTACTCCACCATCCTAGAAGTGGTCATCATCCTCATGATCAAGGTTGTACAGTCTTATCTCAAGTGGAGAGCCTGGGCTGAAGATGGGCACATCATGTCTCCTTACATTCTTCTTGTATAAAGCTCAGTTATTTGGGCACACCCAGCTACAACTGAGGCTGGGAACTGTTGTTGACAGATATAGGAAAAAAATGGGGGACTTTATATTACTAAATAAAGAAAAGGGAGAAAATAAATATCGAGAAGACAACTTGAAGTCTTTCATATTTTATTCACGGTGGACTGGTAAATTCTATCATCAGTCCATCCAAAAGTACTTCTTTTTTGGAATATTTATTTATGCACACAAGAACTAGGGTGTACCCCAGAGCTGTGGGGGTGAGAGGATTCACCAGAAATAGTTTGGGGAGCAGAACAGGCAGATCTACTGAAATACATTGCTGAGGGGAGCAGCAGGTGAGACAGGAGAGGTCTCCTGTACCGTGTGTGTCATCTCCCTGGTTGGGGGTTGAACTCAAGCCTCAGTGGCTGGCGGTAGCTTGATAGTGCTGATATTTTAAACCCTGTGCCACCAGGAGGCCCCCAAAAGCGCTTCCTAAGAACGTATTATACATCCAGTTTTTGATGGGTCTGGAAACACTCAGGCCCTTCCCCACACTGCTCCATCAAGCTGGTGTTACCACCCTTAGGATAGAGTTAGTCAGTATCTGGTCAGCATATCAGCTCCCACACTGAGATGAGAATCCAGATTTAACTGGTTGGTGCTCTGTCTAGCCCCTCTAGCCAGGGCCTGAGTGCTAATTCCCTTTTCCCATGTTCCCATGCTCCCTGACATGGGTATTATTACTCCTGTGCTTTCTACCATGCCCCAAACCCTGATTAGAATCCTGTTGTTATCATTGGTGATTTATTTATTAAGCACTGTATGTCTTCCAAGGACTGTTCTAAGTGTTTCCTATTTTATATTCATTGTAAGAGGATTTTTCATCAAAGAAACCCTGTAAAGTTAATAGTATGTGTACTATTGTTTTACAAGTGAGGAAAATCTAATTAAGAGAAGATACAGGACAGCCATGGAATGGGATGGTACATAAATACAGGCTTGCCTCTATCTTTAAATTATTTACTTCACGTTAATTAGGTTCTTTTTATTTACTAGATAGTTATTGATGGTATAAGCCATGTGAGATGAGGAGATAGTAATACTGTTATTAGATTACATAATAAAATATTTAAATATTAACCATGTTCATTTATTGTCTCTTTTTTCCCTTTCATTGAATTTTAGTTTTGTAATTATAAAAAATGCCAAGTGAATCACAGACCACTTAAATTTGCAAAAAAAAAAAAAAAGTCTTACATTTTCTATAGTAAGGAAAATTTCTGTCACAAGACTTGGAGACTAGGAAACTTTTTTTAAAAAAGCTATCCACTGAGATGACAATACCTGACGGGGGTATCCAAATAGTATCTCAATTAAAAATAAATGCAAAACATTAAGAAAAAATCCATTCATTATGAAATTAGACTGATGCAAACCATTTACCATTTCCGCTTATCTCAAAAACATTATTACAAGTTTGATATCGATTTTGCTTTATTGATGATGTAATAGCATTTGAGAGATGTAGGAAATATCTCTAAGTAAATGAAACCCTGTTGACTTTCTTCTGAAAGCGAATTCTAATTCCTTATGTAGATCAGTATAAATTAGCCTTAGAGTTAAAATGAGTAACATGACTGTCAATTTCCAATGACAAATATATGTAAGTACTTTTAATAATGGAACATAATTTTAATAAGCAGGCAGCTTACCCCCAGTGAATATCTAGTCTCTTTCTAACATGATACGATTTTGTGTGTCATCATACTGTGCTTAAGTAAATTTTAATAATTGCTTGTTCAAACCTTGATTCTATTTGAAATACACCCTGTAAAAGACAAATGTTGATTCTATGACATTAGGTATAAAGGAAGGTAAAGAAATTCTTGTATATAGCAACCATTTTACTATGATCTTGCTTCTTTGTTTCTAAAGTTTGTACTTGTCAGGTTGTAAGCTAAAGAAGTTAAAATCCTGGTAATGGAAAAAATGTGCTTCCTTCTGAATATGCAAGGTCATTGAGCAAGATATCTACATCATTGGGGAGGGTTGAAAGTCATATTAGGAAAACAATCTCTAATAACTCCTGACAAATACACCTTTGGACGTGGCTCATATTTCATTGCTTCTTTTCATGATGAAAAATAATACCTAGCTATTGAAAATTACTGTATGGAAGGTTTGCAGGATTATCTCATCTCACCAAGTCCTCTAAAGTAACTTTTTCTCTCTCAGTAATACCCAATTCAAAAAGCTCATCATTTTTTTTGGATAAAGACACTTTAATTTGTGAATTTCTTCTAGAGTGGGTCCTACTGTACAAATGTAGATATTTTTCAGCTCCCTCTCAGCTTTAATGTTTCCTCTATGGTATCTAAATATTTCATGAATCACTTGACCTTTCCCTTTTCTGATAATAACTTGATTCAGTTTGCTGCCCTTATTCCTAGGATGTAACCAACTTCTTTCACCCTCTCTGACTCTCGCCAATTGCCCTTCCCATCTCACTTAAATCTTTATGAAAAGCCTTGTCTGACCACAAAAATCTGAATGCTTTTTTAGACTTTAGTGTATGTATGCAAAGGGAAACCAGCTATTTTTCCCATGTAAGTAATTTAATTATCGTTTGCTCAGTACTTAGTCATGTTGTTTATGTCAATTTTACTTCCTACCGTCTTTTAAATCCCTTAAGGTGGACATTAAAGAACTTTACTTGAACTTATACCATAATGGGGTTTTAAGCACTGTTGTTAACTACACCCAGTATTCTTATATTTATAGTCACTTCAGAAGTAGATCTAGAAATGAGATATATGCAGATAAAGATGTTACCTGGTTTTATTTTTTTTTAGATTCATTTCATTTATATTTATGCACAGAAGAACTGAGGTAGGGGCCAGAGGTGTGGGGCAGGGGTGAGAATTCACTAGAGAGAGTAAGTGATACCTTGATAGTGCTGTGCCACCAGGGAGGCCCTACCTGGTATTATTTATAGAGATAAACTGGAAAATGAGTTGGTCTTATGGATCCCTCTGGGCTTCTTAATAATAGTCCACTGAAATTGGGTTTATTTACCCCTGTTTCTTCTTCTTTACCCCAAACCAGTCAGGTGTGTATTCTTTACAAGAACAACCAACCTACACATGAAGGAAGAGAAGAATGTGTGTATCCTGGATACAAGACATGGGGGAGGAAAATCTGCCCATCTGCGCATGCCCTTTTCCTTCACCCAAAGGCACTGCTTAGATGTAATGCTTTTTCTCCCCTGGCAAGTTATGATGGAGGAGGCAGAATGATGCTTAGATTTTTTTTTTCCTCTCCTTTTCGCTGTTATGAATGACTAGACTCTTCTCCGCGAACATTAAGTAGAACAGAAGAATCCCCACTACTCCCTTCATTTCATCCTTCCTTTGTTTTCATCTTTGCCTTTTCCCAAGAGTTGGATAAAACTCTCAGGCAATATAAATAAATGAAAATGCCCACACCTCTGTGTCCTTTCTACCCTGAGTCTTCACACACACACCATTGAGTTAACCAGGATTGATCACTTTCATATCATTTTCATTCAACAACAATCTATGGAGCATTTTTGCTGCCAGATACTATGCTGAGCCCAGATATGTGAAAATTAACAAGACATAGACTGTTGTCAATGAATTTAAAGAACATTTATCCAGCATGTTAGATTTATGACCTATACTATTTAAATCAATTGGTATTGCCCTACTGAGATATTGTTATGCTA